ATAAAATTGAATTGAATTAAATCCTGGAAACCCTGCCTTAACAAAGAATCCCTCAAACTAAAGAAATTCTCTTGAAATGCGGCATTATTATTTCTGTTTTATGTATTTGGTTCCCTTTTTGTTAGATGCCATATCAAATATTTGTAAAAGATTTCAGTGATGTCGTTTGAAAGTTTGAACAATAACTAAAGGGTCTTCCTATTACTGTGCTGAAAATTAAACCATAAATAATCAAACTAACTGTGCAAAATAGTAGAAAATATTCCAAGAAACCCACAATAAAAACAACAAAACAAAGCTTTTTACAGCATATTACTCCTTCTCTTATGTATTTTGATGTAGATTTGAATCCAGGCACAGATTAAAAAGGTAAAATAAATACATTTAGAAGATTTTTACTCTTGGCAGGCCCACAACATCACATCGAATCAAAGAAGATGCTTTTAAAATGCTGTTTCACTGAGACGTTGGCGTCTCTCTCCAGCAGCGGTGAACAACCATGTGATTCCACTACAGCAGCTGAGGGGGAAAACCTGCAGACTTTTGGCCCTAAACTGAAGCTTTGGAGGCCGGACTGAAGGCAGCAGGGCTGACCACTTTGGATCAGATGGTGAAACTGGCAGAGCTTCAAACAGTCAAAGCTGTGTCATTTTAACCACACAGACTCACTGCCTAATAACACAGAGCGCTGCTTTTTGTGCACTGACTCTCAGTATGTGTCTGTTGAGTGTGTGTGTTGTTGCTCCCTGTCATTATCTCCCCCAAACAGGAGAAGACTAAACTAATAACAGCTATCAGAGAGAGGGGGAGAGGGGGAGAGGGGGAGAAAAAAGAAAAACAGAAGAAGTAGGAGGAAAGCAAAAAGACTAGGAGCCTGAGACTCATGATTCACATCATGTTAAATTGAGTTCAGAAGGTATTTTATGAGTCTGAATTTCCCAAGTCATCCTTTATATTCACATCAGCGCCCAGACAAAGAAACCAACATGCATGTTTCAAACAGCATGAAGGAGAGAGACATACGTGCCTATCTCCAGCTGCTTTGAAAGGAGCATAAAAGAGTCTTCAGAGTGATAATACGCGTCTGATCAGAGAGCATCTGATTCGGCCAAAGGATAAATATATCACACAGCAACATCATTTGCAAAATGATTTGCTGTAATGGGAAGTACATGTAGGCTAAAGTTTGTAAAATGGGTTAGAACGAGCTAAATGACAAGTTTTTTCTTTAAAATATAAGGTTGGGCTTTTATCAGGTGACGCCCAAATGTCTGTGCCAAATGTCAGCCTGACAGTTGTTTCAGTCTGGACCAAAGTGGTGGACTGCAGACCGACCTGGCCGTCCCTTCAGCTAAACCACTAGCACAGCTAAACATGTCTTATTTAACACAGTTTAAGGCTATCAACTATTTAAAAGCTATGCAATCTGCTTGCAGTCTCAAAACTATGATCTACACTTGAAAATAACACTGCTGGCATTGGATATGAATTTTTAAAAAAAAAATTAAGGTCTAATAAAAGTGTCAATCTTGTTGTATCACAGTATATTTAGATGATGCTTTAAAACAATTGTTTTAACAGAATTAAACTATGAGAACAGTTGATCAATGTGATCTCTGGCTCTACATTTGAAGAAATTCAAGTAGATTACATATTCTTTTGTAGCACCTTAGTGTTACTCTACTCAGCTGTCTGGGGTCATTTCCTGTATCAAAACACCAAGCCTAGCAATGTTAGGACTTCACTGCAATTCTCAATATTGCACTAATGGTAGTAGTGTAGAAAGCAGAAGGTAAAACATCTCCATCCTCAGTCACCAGGATAACTAGCAGCTGTTTGCTTAACTGAGCAACCCACAGCTGTGAGTTTCAGATCATGGTAGAGATTCAGCAGACCAGTCTTCACTCTTGATGCCAGTCCTCTGTAATTTTCTTGAGAGCAACCACCTGCTTGGAAAACTGCCAACATCCCAGTTGGTTTTAGTTTCAATTCAACTGTTATTCCTGCAGCTGGGAAGGAAGAATGAAACTGCCGAGTTTTTTTTTTTTTTTTTTTTTCTGGGGGGGGGGGGGAGTGAAATGTGACTGTCAATACATTGAACAAGCTTTGTTCTATGGAACATTAAGAGGTAGTATTAAAAGGTATGAGAGTTCTGTTAAATCATTGACATGACTCCATGCTTTGTTTGATTCATAAGAGCGAACAACTTGCTGCTTGGGAGACAAGAACAAAAGGTTTTGCAGAGAATACAGTGACATGGCACATTTTATTATGTTTAAGTAATTGCTTTCCAAGAGTATAAACCCAACATCTGATATTAGATGGAGATAGCATGTGTAAGGACATTACATTGTGCAGCAGTGCCCCTTAACAGGAAGTTTCAAATGACACAGGGAGTGTAGCTCCAAGTACTTTATTCAATTTCAAAGTTGATGCCAAGACAGACTGCTTCCAGGAAGGGGCCAAGGACCTGCGAACAAAAAGACAACATTTTAGCAAGTGCAATGCATTTACCTTCATTTGAAAATCCACCATTGGGGTTAACTCCACAGATCTTTCTTCAACTAAAAGGGCACCTGCATGTCCATTTCAAATGCCAGTCCTTTACCTTCTTTACCCCCCCCCCCCCCCCCC